CTCCTTGACAATTTGATAACGATCGGCCGTTTAGCGGCCGCTGCAGCGACCCATTGTTCGCTCGCGTACACCATAACGCGGCATCATCTCCGTTCGAGTCGTCGCGGCTCGATAATTTCCGGTTCGCCACCTTTCGTTACGCCGTTCTCGAATTTCAAATTGGAGCTTCGAGATGTCGTGTTTTCATTCGCGTTTGTGTCGTTTTAGCGTCGAAATACAGGGAGGAGGGGGAGGAAGAAGGGGATCTCGATTAACCGGTCGTCGCGATTACATCTAGATTCTAGATTATTCTAGATCGTCGAGGTTATGATTATGCGGTTCTGGTTTATCGAGGATACGAATATATATTGGGGAATTAAATTTTGGAGCGATTCTCCGCGTAATATACATTCGAAAGGATCGAAACTCTTGCACGTCAATTTTATATTCTTTTTTTCTTTTTGATTTGAGATTGATGGTTGGTTTGGAGAGTCATTACGATTGATATTATGTAAATTTTTCTATCATGTTCTTTTCTTATTTATTAATTGTTGATAGTATTTTTGGGTTACTTTTTGAAATTGATAGTTGTTGGATACTCTTTACGATTGATATTAGATTAGAATCATAAGTGAATGTTCAAAATGTGAGAAGAGGTTGTAATATTGAAAGCAGTTTGTAATATATCTTCATATTCTTTTTTTTTTATTAATTAACAATAATATTTTTGCAACAAAAATTAAGAAATCTTCCATATATTTTTTATGGCAAGTAACTCCTGTACCTGTTAGAATAACGCAACAATTTCTATATTTCTCCTCTAACTCCTCTAATCTCTTATTCACTATCACATTAACACATTCTTATTTTTTTTCGCGAAATCTTTCGTGATAACCTTACGATACTCACAATTCAAGATATTCCTCCATTCTCACGAGGATTCTTGGAAAAAATAAGTCTTTTCTTCCTCTTTCCTCTCTCCCTTTCAATCAATCGTGATCGAATATGATAACACAATAATTTCTATATTTCTCCTCTAATCTCTCATTCACTATCACATTACCATATTTATATTTTTCGAAACTTCGCGAAATCTTTCCATAACCTTACGATACTCGCAATTTAAAATACTCCTCCATTCTCACGAAAATCCTTGGAAAAAATAAGTCTCTATCTCTCTTCTTTCTTCCCCTCTCCCCCCCATGATAACGCAACAATTTCTATATTTCTCCTCTAACTCCTCTAATCTCTTATTCACTATCACATTCTTATTTTTCTTCGCGAAATTTTTCGTGATAACCTTACGATACTCACAATTCAAGATATTCCTCCATTCTCACGAGGATCCTTGGAAAAAATAAGTCTTTTCTTCCTCTTTCCTCCCCCCTTTCAATCAATCGTGGTCGAATATGATAACACAATAATTTCTATATTTTTCCTCTAATCTCTTATTCACTATCACATTAGCACATTCTTATTTTTCTTCGCGAAATCTTTCACGATAACTCACAATTTAATTTAATTTAAGGTATTCCTCCATTCTCATGAAAATCCTTGGAAAAAATAAGTCTCTACTTTTCTTCCTTCCTCCCCCTCTCCCTTTCGATCCATCAACCGAGGTCGATCGAACATGATTGCAGAACGGTCTGAACGAGACGAGGAGGGATCGGATCTTGCGCACGTACGTGCGGAACACGTATCGCTACCACCTTCACGAGATCTACTCGACCCTCCGTAACGAGTACACGGACTGGGAGAGGGGCGAGCAGAGCCCGTTGGCGATCTGCGACGGACTTTTGTCGTTGCTCGGCGACGGCCAGGTCGCGGCACCCCTTCTGAGGTTGGCGCTGCTGCACTCGGCCTCGGGTGGACGCGGCTACTTCCTCCACTTCCAGCTGGGCGAGAGGCCGAGCCAGAGGGGCGAGGAGGTGCCCTACCTCCTCGGCATACCTCTACTCCGGGGAGAGATCGCGTCCATTTTGATCGGCCAGGCCAACTACACCTCGGCCGACGAGAACCTCTCCAAACTGTTGGTCCACTACTTGGCCAACTTCGTGAGACGCGGGTGAGTCCAGCAGGCTTCTCTTTTTACCCCCTATTATTATATATGTATACATGTATGTGTTACGTTTGTCGAGCAGGATCGAATGGAAACCGACAACCGACGTCGTGATTCGATTCGCGTTGGAAAATAGCGGTGTAAGGGGTTGAAAGGGTTTCCTGAGAAATAACGGGAAACGTCATCAGCTTATACTTTTGGGGACTTTTGGGATTAACGCGTTACGTCGTTCGAGAGGTTTTTGTTTCTTTCCTTCCATTTTTCTGTACGTGGAATATATTCTTTGGGGATATATTCTTTTTGATTTTTAC